GAGGTGATGGTATATGCTGCAGGAGCAGCACAGCAGCAGCAGCAGCAGCAGCAGCAGCAAGGTGCATGCAGGGGAGTAGGCTGCTGCTGCTGCAGCCCCTGCCGCTGCAAAGCTGGAGGCCCCAACTGCGGCTGCGTTCAAGAGGCCTTCGAAGCAGCAGCTGCGCTACCTGTGAAGCTGCAGGTGAAGCAAACAAAATAAATAAATAAATAAATAAATAAATAAATAAATAAATAAATAAATAAATAAATAAATAAGTAAATAAATAAATAAATAAATAAATAAATAAATAAATAAATAAATAGTGTTGATATAATTAATAATATTAATAGAACAGATATATCTAACTAAAGAAATTGCACAAATAGAAAGGGAAGGAGACAAAACCAACAAACAAAATAAAAATAATAAACAAAATAAAAATAATAAACAAAATAAAAATAATAAATAAAATAAAAATAATAAATAAAATAAAAATAATAAACAAAATAAAAATAATAAACAAAATAAAAATAATAAACAAAATAAAAATAATAAATAAAAATAATAAAACAAACAAAACAAATAAAACAAATAAAACAAATAAAACAAATAAAACAAATAAAACAAATAAAACAAATAAAAGACAAATGCAATCGCGGGTATATGCATGTATATATATATATATATATATATATATATATATGTATATGCATATGTGTCTATATTTATATATATATATAATACAGATATATTTGTAGATATGCACATACATATAAATATTAACACCAATGTATATATATACATTTATATACATATATATATATCTACATATATATATTATATTATATATTATATATATTATACATGTACATATAACGAGTATATAAATATAAATATATACATATATACATAAAGGTGCGCTGTGTAGAGTTTTATAATATCGGTGTTGTCTCCGTCTGTCTCCTTTTTTGTTGTTAGACTTGGATATAGATGTTTATATATTATAATTATTAATAATATTATTACATATAATTATATATATAATTATAAATAATTATTGTTGCTGCTGCTGCTGTCTCCTCTTGGTGTTTGTCTTTGTGTCTCCTTAGACCCTGTCTCTTGTCTCTCTTTTCTGTCTCCTTCTCTCGCTGTCTGTCTCCTTTCTCCCTATTCCCAAGTGTCTCCTCATCCCTCTGCTGCTTCTTCTTCTGCTGCTGCTGCTGCTGCTGCTGTTGTTGCTGCTGCTGCTGCTGCTGCTGCAGGAGTGGGCCGCCAAGTATCAGAGCGAGGGGCGCACAGTCGTCGTGTTGCAGGCAGCAGGAGTTATATTAGGTATTTGTTTTTATAAATTATATTTAAACATAAATAAATAAATAAATATAAATATATATATAAAATAAATATATATATATATATGTATGTATAAATATTAATAGATGTATATATGTATAAACATATATAAATATAGACGCAAATCTACATATATATACATATATATGTGTATATAAATATATATATATATATATATTTATGTATAGGTATTTATGTATATATATATATTTATGTATCCAAGCATAAATGTCAGTAGGCGTACCTTTATATATATATATATATATATATATATGTATGTATATATATATATATATGTATATATATATATATATATTTATATGTAAAGATAAATATAAATGAACATAAGCATATATAAATATATATAAATATACGCCTATATACATATAGATATATATATGCATATATATGTATATATATATATATACATATATATTTATATATATAGATATATATATATATTTATATGCGCGCTGCAGTTTTATTTTGTTTAATATTTGCGGTGTTGTCTGCATTTATATTTAGAGAATGTTAAAAACAAATAAAAATAAAAAACAAACAAATAATTAAAGTCTCTCCTTTCTGCCTGTCTGCCCCTGGCTGTCTCTTTTCTGCAGCACAGATCGCATGCGTCTGTCTCCTTTCTGTCTCCTTCTTTGTCTCTGTCTCTTTTCTTTTTGCTGTCTCCTTCTTTGTTTTTGTCTCTGTCTCTGTCTCCTTGCTCTCTGCTTCTTTTCTGTCTCTACCTCTGGCTGTCTCTGTCTCCTTTCTGTCTCTTTTCTTGTGTTTCTTTGTCTGTCCTTTTTCTTTATTTGTGTCTCTTTGTCTCTTTGTCTCTCTCTTTCTCTTTATATCTGTCTCTTCTCTGTCTCTCTCTCTCTCTCTCTCTCTCTCTCTCTCTCGCTCTGTATATGTATATATATATATATAGATATATATACGTATGCATATATATATATATAGATGTATATACGTATGCATATATATATGTCTCTTCTCTGTCTCTTTGCCTCTCTCTCTCTTTATACCTGTCTCTTCCTCTGCCTCTCTCTTTATATCTGTCTCTTCTTCTGTCTCTCTCTTTATTTCTCTCTCTTTATATCTGTCTGCTTTCTGTCTCGTGTGCTGCTGCAGGCTGCGTTGCTCTAACTGATGCTCTTCACCCCGAGGCGCCTGCTGTTGTTGCTGCGCTGCAGCAGCGCGGCATAGATGTGTGGCTATGCACAGGAGACTCTGCTGCTGCTGCTGCTGCAGCAGCAGCAGCAGCAGGCATTCCACAGGACAGAGTCCTCGCTGAGGTTCTCCCCAAACAAAAGGCAGCCGTCATCGCTCAGCTGCAGCAGCAGCAACAAGGTAGGCTTCCTAGCAGCAGCAGCAGCAGCAGGAGCAAGGTTTCCTAGCAGCAGCAGAAGCAACAGCAGCAAGGGGAACTGCGGCAGCTGCTGCTTGCTGCTGCTTGCTTCTCGGTGTTCAGTTGCTGGGGATATCAGTTGCTATTGGGTGTCCTGTCTCCTTTGTCTCTTCTGTCTCCTTTGTTTCTGCTGTCTCCTTTTGTCTCTCCTGTCTCCTTTGTCTCATTTCTTGTCTCTTCTGTCTCCTTTTGTCTTTTCCTGTCTCCTTTTGTCTCCCTTTGTTTCTGCTGTCTCCTTTGTCTCTTTTGTTTTTGCTGTCTCCTTTGTTTTTTTCTGTCTCCTTTGTTTCTACTGTCTCCTTTTGTCTTTAAGTGTCTCTTTTTGTCTCGTTTTGTCTCCTTTTGTCTTCTACTGTCTCCTTTTGTCTTTTACTGTCTCCTTTTTGTGTTATTTGTTTTTCTTCGCCAGTCTCCTTCTTCTTCTGTCTCTCTTCTGTCTTTTTAAGGGTCTTTCTGTCTTTGTCTCTATTTGCATTTATTATTATATTTATTTATTTGTCTTTGTTTATTGAATATATATAATTATATTAAACTGTCTGTCTCTGTTAATTTGCTTGAACTGTTTATATTTATTTATTAATCTTTATTTATTTACTTAAACTTAATATTATATGAACATATTTATCTTTGTTTATTTGGTTTAATATATTATTTAATTAAATAAGATATTTAAAGACAAGAAATTAAATTAATTATCTTATTTAATTAAACTTCTTGTCTTTGTTTGTCTGCTGAAGGCTCTGTTGCTATGGTCGGAGACGGTATTAACGATACACCCGCCTTTGCCTGTGCAGATGTCTCCTTCTCATTTGGTGCTGCAGCTGCTTTAGCAGCAAACGCAGCTTCTGTTGTAATTGCAAACAATGAGTACGCTATCCATCACCTAGCTAGCTAGCTACACAGCTAGCTATCCATCACCTAGCTAGCTAGCTACACTTCTAGCTAGCTACACAGCTAGCTGGCTACACAGCTAGCTAGATAGCTACACAGCTAGCTCAGTAGATAGATAGATATGTAGCGGCACAGCTAGCTAGGTAGGTAGATAGACACCCAGCTAGCCACATATCTAGCTATCCGGATAGCTAGCCATCTAACTAGCTAGCTAGCTGTAGTGCGAGCTACATAGCTAGCTTCCCAGCTTGCTACTGAGCTACCCACTCATTTAGCTGCCTGCTTAGTTGCCCAGCTAGCTAGCTAGCTAGTTAGCTGTCTGACTAGCTATCGTGCTAGCTAGCGAAGGAGTATGCTAGCCAAATAGCTAGCTACTAGCAGTCGTTAACTAGCTAGCTAGCTAGCTAGCTAGTTAACGTAGGTGGCTAGCTGAGCGTGCTTGAGGGGAGGGTGAAGGGTCTGACAATTAAAAGAATAAGTATAATTTGTCTGTTTTAAGTGTCTCCTTGTTGTGCTGCTGCAGTCTGAGGGGTGTTGTCTCCTTTCTTGAATTAGCAGAGGCATTAAGAAGAACAGCAAAAGTTTGTCTCCTTTGGGCTTGCAGCTTTAACTTCTTAGGGCTTCCTGCTGCAGCAGGGCTGCTGCTGCTGCTGCTGCCTGGACGATCGTTAGTAATCTCTCCTCCTGTTGCTGCTGTCTTCATGGCGCTCAGCTCAATTTTAGTTATACACACCGCCTTTACCCTCAGGTACCCCAAACCCTAAACCCTAAACCCTAAACCCTAAACCCTAAACCCTAAGCTCCTAAACCCTATAAATCCTAAACTCCCAAACCCTAAGGCCCAAATCCTAAACCCTAGACGCTCAATCCTAATCCCTCAATCCTAAACCCTAAACCCTAACCCTAAACCCTAGCCCTAAACCCTAAACCCTAAACCCGTCGCATGTCTAAGGGTTTATGCTGGCAGCTCAGGCTTCAGCGATTGCACAGTGGAGACACTGAAGTATTAGGGTTTAGAGTTTAGGGTTTAGGGTTTGGTGTGTGTTGTTGTGCAGATACTTCCGCCCCAAGACCTTCCCAATAGATTCAAACCCTCAGCTAGCAGCAGCAGCAGCAGATGTCTCCTCGCTGCAGCTGCTGAGGAGACATCTCGCATTTCTGCTGCGGGGGCCCCGGCGCTCTCGTTCACGCAGAGTAGAAGCAGCAGAGCTGCTGGCTGCTGGATCTCTTCTTACCTGTCCCCTAATAGAGGAGACACAAGTATGACTCCCTGCAGCAGCAGCTGCAGCAGCAGCAGCTGCTGCTGCTGCTGCAGCTGATGCAGCAGCAGCAGCTGCAGCAACACCAAACACGCACTCACACTGCA